CAGACTGTCTGGATAGAATGGGGAAACTACAGTACTTACCTATTCACCGATAAAGCTGTCGACATCATCAATAAACATAACACTACCRATCCMTTGTTCCTRTACCTCCCCTACCAAGCAGTYCACAGCGCCAATACTATACAGCCTCTWCAAGCACCAGACAAAGTTGTTGAAAAATTYGGATCAATTGAGAACTGGCACAGAAGAATTTTTGCTGGGATGGTGTCTGCACTAGACACCTCAATAAAAAGGGTAATAAATAATAATAATAATAATATAATAATAAATAATAAATAATTGATTAAATAATCTTATATCAATTCATCCATTGTTTCATTTTTTTATCTCATTTCTTTATTCATCTATCTTTCCATCTGTTACTTTTTCCAAAAATGTATTTTTCCTTTACATTTTCCTTGCAAAAACCTTCACATTGTAATTATAGGTAGTTGACRCCCTTAAAGCAAAGAATATCTACAACAATACGATAATAATCTTCTCTACTGATAACGGTGGACCATCAAATGGCTTTGACATGAACTATGCCAGTAACTTTCCATTGAGAGGCGTCAAGGCAACATTGTGGGAAGGTATGTAACGATATTCATTCAAGTTATAGCGACAACAGTCAAATCTCCGGTAAGCGGACACCCTTGGGAAACGCAAAAATTGTCCGCAAGTAGAAATGTTCGTCTAATAGAAATGGATCTTGAAACGGTTAAACAACGTCAAATATTCTTGTTTAATAGATAAAAAACGCATTCCTAATGATCAACGGTAGCGATTAAGATAGAGTGTATAAATACAGTGTTTGTATGGGAGGAAAAACGGGGTTTTGAAAAGCTGTCCGCAAGTAGAACTGTCCGCTTACGGGAGCGTCCGTTTTTAGAGATTCGACTGTATTTATTGTTCATTAGTAAATGGGTTGTGTTTTGAGTTGCAATGTACAATGCCTGATTGCTTTCCGAGACCACCTGTCAATGCCTTGGACAATTATGACAACACCCCAGTTTCAGATTCTCCAGTACACTGTGTTAGCGTTATTTTGTCTGCAAAGTATTTCTAGGTGTGATCAGAATAGCAAACATGACTTGGAAAAATCTAGGTTCAAAAATGTGTCATTTTAGACACCCCCTCCCCCTCCCACCCCCCTTTCATAAATTTCTTTATAATTATAATATAGAAATATTCTGTCCTTAGGGGGAGTAAGAGGAGCAGGATTCGTTCACAGTCCTCTA